GTCGCATGTACTCGCATAATACAAGCGATTATGTGTTGGCTAAACACAGTTGGCCTTGAACTGGCGGCAGTGAAAACCGAGGCCGTCCTCATCAGTAGCCGAATGGCGGTAGAGCAGGCGTACATCCGAATTGCAGGTCTCACAGTAGCATCCAAACGCTCCATCACCTATCTAGGAGCTTAGATGGACACTCGGCTGTGCTTTCTGGAACATTTGAAGACTCGGGGCCCCAAACAAGGACGCAGGTTACTGCGTGTGTGTCTGCAGTGGCTTCAGAACGGTTTCCGACGCCGCTGTTCTGGTGATCGCGGAGATGGTCCCTAATCCCAAACATGGCATTGTGCACTGGGAGAACGAATGGTAAAGTAGACTTTTACCTCGACAATTGCTAAGTGGCGCGGATGCTTCTAAAGCTACTAGCACCGCCTTGGGCATGGCTCCAGTGCGGAATGCCCTACCTGCAGGGGGTGACTGAAGACGCACATCACGCAGCCTTCGAATGCCCGAGATTCGAAGCGGACATATGGAGATGGGAGGAAATTACTGGTACTCCCCTACCGAAAAATTTTGTGTCCAACATGCTCGCGGACGAAGGATCGTGGAAGCCCAGTGCAAGCTTTACGGCTGCAATAATGGGTATGCTTCGAATACTGGAGCGCGAACAAAACAGCATATAGGCAGGTTGGAAAGCCGGGAAAAGCAATGCTTAACGACCGTACCGCCTTTACTACAACTTGCATATATGTATTTATATTTAGTTATTATATCGTCCTTACGCGTAACAAAGAGTCGGCAGATTAGCTGACCCGGAATGATGGGCTGGCTACAAATCATTAGCCGATCCGACGCAGTGAGTGGCGAAACCACCACTCAAGACGCTGCAGAGCTTATAGATGCGGAACCAGTCGTTCCAGACACAGAAGTGGCGCCCGAAGAACAGGGTTATTCTCTGAAGCATCAGAGCTTGCTAGAGGGTGCGCTACACTCGGCCAAGAAGATGAAGATTCCATCCTAGATGATGATGACGCCGACAAGACAGTGGTGGGAATGGGGGTAGATGCCTCTGAGGTTTCTGCAGATTAACCTCCACTACTGCAAAGCAGCATCCGCTGCTCTATAACTTCGTCTGAGCCGAAAGGAAGTGGATGTAGTCCTCATCCAGGAACCTTGGATCTGCAGAGCAAAGTTTTTGGGTTGAGAACGCAAGAGTACAAACTAATCGTACCAATAAACACAGGCAATTCTAACAAAGAAAAACATAAATATTTTTCTGCTACCCAATTTTAGCGATGGCGATAACACAGAAGCATGCATAGAGGCAAAGCCAAAGCCTCCGAGGGTATGCTCAACGTACATAGCGTATGAGGAAACAAATCCTCCACCCCTTCTGACAAGAAAATTCGTAGAGGACAGCAGGGAGAAGAAGATTGACCTATTCATTGCATGCGATACCAACACTCATCATATTCAGTGGGGAATCACTGACACAAATGAACGGGGTGAGTCACTTTTTAACTACATCCTTTCAACATGGGATCAGATCCCACCTTCCTGATTTAGAATCGAAGCCAGGTTCTTTTTTATTTATTTATTTATTTAAATCAACAAGTGGATCTGTCGATTTATTCAATAACAATATATAAGTATTTACATTTTATATATATATTAAGGCTTAAAATTAAAAATTCAAATATGATTAATATAACATAGTTTCAACTTAAAAGATAAGAAAGCCTACGAAAAAGCTGTACAATAACGTCTATAAATGCCCCCGACATGTTGGGGGAATTGTATTTGCCAGTTGGCCAGCTATGCCCCGATTCACAGCCATATGTGGTCAGAGACATTATAGACCTAACAATCTAAACAAATAGTATGTAGAAGAGGAAAATTAATTCTACTTAGGAGCTAATTAGAAAAAGTAAGGAGTAGAAAGAGACAAAGGTAAAGAGGGAGAGAAAGGAAGAGGAAGAGAAAGGGGAAGAGAGAAACAGGGAAAGAGAAAGATGGAACAAGAAAGACAAAAGGAGAAAGAGGGAAATCTCCAACCCGGTGGGGGAAAGTTTTAAGCCAGTCCGGCCAGCTATGCCCCGACTCACAGCAGTATGTGGTCAGAGATTTCCACGGAGATAACTATAAAAAATAACTTTTATAAATAAAGAGAGAGTTCTGTTGAAAGTAAATGAGAAAGCTCATTATAATTGGAACAAATGACTCGAAAACGATTGTGCGCAGCGTAATCGGTTGTGCACCTAGGCAAAACGAATGGCAAATAATTCCTTGTTGGTCTACAAGGAACGGAAAAATTAAGGCGACCTAAGAGGGAAGAGGAGTCAACCTCGCCGATAATCAACTTGTGGAGAAATACTACTCCAAGAACAGTCCTACGATTTACTAAAGAAGGAAGGTTTATAAGCATCAGCCTGCTAGAGTACGATGGCAAGCGGAGGTTGGGATCCCAGCTTAAGCCACATAAAGCAAAAAGAAGGAATTGCTTCTGAACAGACTCAATACGTTCCTGTTGCTTTCTATACTGCGGACACCAAACGCATGAGCAGTATTCAAGCACAGGGCGTACTAGTGCAGTGTAAAGAAGCTTAGTGGTATATGGGTCATTGAATTCCTTGGACCAACGTTTAATGAATCCAAGTAATCCCTTAGCCTTATTGACAATACTAGATATGTGAAGGTTGAAGTTCAATTTGAAATCAAAAAGAACCCCAAGGTCTTCAACAGTCGATATACGCTGCAATGGCACATTGGCAATCGTATACGTGACTAAATGGGGCAAAGTTCGGTGAAATGACATGAACTTACACTTAGCGCAATTAAAGTACAAGTGGTTAGCTAAGCACCACGATTGCATGCAGTTCAGATCATCCTGCAAGGCGATGAAAATGAGTATGGTCTTTATATGTCAGAATAAGTTTCACATCATCAGCATACATAAGAATATGAGAGTGTGACAAGGTAGAGGGGAGGTCATTAATAAATAATGTAAAAAGTAAGGGGCCAAGATGGCTACCTTGAGGCACACCTCATTCATTTCGAAGTATCTCTAAGGAGCGAGCGACCAGTTGCGACAAGAACTGCAGTGTGTTCCAGACAGAAATCCTAGCTATAAAAGAAACTCTTCTTACATTCTGCATACTTGTATACTCGGATAGCCAAGCGGGAATAAAATCCCTAAACTCTATCACATCGAACTCGATGTCAGTGCAGAACAGTCGCAAATCTCTTCACGAGACGGCAGCACAGTTCTCATCATTTGGGTTCCAGGCTATATGGACATTGAAGGAAATTGCACAGCAGACGAGCTGGCAAGACATGGTACCACTGTCTCTCTCCTTCCGGACAAGGAGAGTGTCGGTATACCAATGGCCAGCTGCAGACTATCAGTTCGGAATCACTTTGAGATCAAATGTGGACCAACTATTTAGACTCTAGCAAATTTACGCGTCTAACGTGGCCCACTCGCACCAAAAAACGCTCCTCAAACCTCTGCAATTTGAGCAGAATCCAATGCTCAATCACAATAAGAGACATCACTGGCTACTGGCTGGTCGGCATCGACGTCGCCAGACCGGGGCTCTATCATAATGACTTCTGCAGAAGTTGTAACGACGTAGAACAGGAGGAAACAGTAACTCACCTCTTCTGCGACTGCCCAGCCCTAATAAGGACAAGAAAGTGTAACCGAGGGACATTTTCAAATTCCTCCAGGCATCTGGATGGATGTAACACATGCGAAGACACGCAGCTAACCACTGAAAATTGGGAAGTGGATCAGTGCACGCGGTAGCACAATGGGCCAACCTCCAGGGCCTAGTCAGGGCACTTCACCCTGGCTGCCGCAACTAAACTAACCTAACCTATATATGTGCATACAATTAATAATATTGGCAGCGATCGCTGTGAAGTGCGATGTATGCGCTTACCGATGCAGAATAACAAACGTAAGAGTGCAAAAGACAAACAGGAATAAACGACAAGATGCAGTAGATTTACTTGTAATTGTTGTTGAAGTTGCTAGATATCGATGTTACTTCTTGTAGTAGGCGGTAAGACGTATGTATGTATTTGGAAGCAGATGCTGGCGCCAGATACTATTTAAAATTTATAGATTCACCTACAAATTATGAGTTTGTGCTCATTTTCACAAGTGTTTACTTCCCAAACATTTTTTACAAATGCTGATGGGGCAACAGTGTTGGCACGGTTCGTTGAGCACAGAAAATTCGGCTAGCGTGTGGATGGCCCGATTAATCGTTCGATAGTAGAAATAAAGCGAAAGATGAAATTAATCAAACGCGAATATTTATTATAAACAATTGGTTGAGTGTGAAATACTTAAATAACATTATTGTAAGGACATAAAATAATATATTAATGTAGATTCATTTACACATAGCAACTTACAATAAGTAAGGTGCCACCAGCATATAACATAAAAAGGAAACCTGAAGTCCGCTTTTGAAATGATGAAATTATATATATGTATATAATATATATTAAAGTAATTGTAATCCAAACATTTAACACTATAAAAAGTTGATCATTTTTACAATGTTTGGCATTTCTTTACTTTCAAATACAAACACATATACAGATTTTAAAAACGAAATTATAAGAGTTTCACGGTTATAGACCCACACTGTCAGGTTCTTCTGTAAAAAGAGGGGCTCTTACCGCCGATGTTTTATTAAACCATTCAATGGTAGCATAAGTATTCGATAGTTATCAGATTATATCCTACCACTACTAAAAATTATTTTTTGCGAAATAGTGCTACTCGATAAGTTTCCCATACCACTTTTTCTAGTGAATACCACACTGTACTGTATGTCCCATAGGTATCGTTTACGTGTTATCAAATCACGATACATTGTTAGTATTCAAGTTAACAATATCGCCATCACTAAGTTTAAAATGGTATCGAGCAGAGCCAGTGAATTTACTACATAAAATACATACATATGTATGTATGCTGATGCACAAGAGAGGCGAGCAGCACAGACTATTATTCAATCTATTTGCGTTCGCCGTTGTTTGATTCAAGTTGAATGCCGCATTGTTCGGTTTATTTATTCTTTAATTGCGATTCGATGCATGTTCGTGTTCGAAAAAAGCAATTATAATAACAATCACAAATACTCTTGCTAAAGGGGAGAAATTCGGCAAGGAAAACAGATTCATCAAATTAGTTGGATAATACTTCACATTAAAATGGTATATTTCCTCCAGTAGTTCTTATAATAAAAAAGCAAGAAATGCCTGTCATTCTGTAAACATGTCCATTCAAATTTGCACACGCATTCTTCACAACTATAATAAACAGTTGATGTTCTATATATATCAAAAACAATAACAATTTGGAATAATTATAACACTCCAAATCACCAAACATATTCTGAAATAAATTGCATACATTATCGATATGTATTTATTCGTGTGCAAATTGTGCATATTTATATGTACATGCATGCAAATATACCTATACCTACATTATATCAACAATAACACGGATAGGTTATGTGGACAAGTTTTTGTACACCTAAGTATATGGGCCATATCTATTGCATTTTTATTTAGGAAATTCAACAATTGGAAATACTTTGCAAACAGCTTTACGAAGCTACTGATCCCATCATACGTATCGATGCAGAAAAGGCACTTGTTGTGTTTGTCAGCAGCCCTGATGCACTGCCCAAATGCCAGCTGCTCCTGGATCGCGCAGACTCAAGCTACGCTCAGTTGCTCGCCGCTTCCACACTTACAAAACTTATACAGGGACTTACGCTAGAGCAGCGTATTGACATACGCAGCTATGCACTCAACTATTTGGCAACTAGGCCCAACTTACAGCACTTTGTAATACAGGCCTTAGTAACATTACTGGCTAAGATCACGAAATATGGATGGTTTGATTCCTACAAGGGCGAATTAATATTTCAAAATTTGTTAGAAGATGTTAAAAAGTTTTTACAGGTATGTAAATTGAAGTCATAGTTCAAAGACTTGTATTATTTTTAATCTCTTTAGGGATCAGTAGAGCACTGCACCATTGGCGTACAAATACTATCGCAATTGGTCTCAGAAATGAATTCAATTGTAGAGATCGATGTGCACTTGTCGTTTTCGAAAAACCGTAAAATTGCTACATCCTATCGTGATCAGCAGCTGTATGATACGTTTCTGCTTTCTTGCTCACTTTTAATAACAGCACGTGACAATAGCAAAAATCTAAACTTTTTGGACGAGCCGCAACAAGCGTAAGTTACTTTAAAGTTACCTCTCGATAGGCAAAAGACATCGCATAATAATAAGAAGGTGGCGCAATATGTAATCATATCGTATGTCATGAGCGCGGTTTGTTACAATAATTTTTACATTAAGTCGTACGTGCCGATTTGCTTTGCGTTGCTTTTAGTATCAGACGAAGAAAAAGCGATGTGGTCTCAATTTTCAATTTATGGAAACAAATGTGTAAATGTGGTGTTAAAAATATTTTAATTAAAATTGACTAGTCTTTCGAACGCGCACAAAACAGTATTTGTTCTATACAATATATAAATGATTTCATTTATAAATATTAAGGACAATGATAATACGTTTCGATAAGACATGACGAAATAAATCTCTTATAGGCAGCTGATTGCATTATTATTATAAATCGATCAAGATGAAGTTCATGATTTTAGGGCTCCCAGATAATAAAACTGTGTTTTTTGTATTGTTTAAAAGTTAATGGTATTTAATTATTTTTATTATCTAAAAAATAAAAGTTAATTTAATATATTATCATGAGCCTTAAGTTCTATTTGATAACTATAATCATATAGTAAGGAAACCATCAACTCACCCGGTCTGAAAACCTCGTATTAAGTTCGATTTTGTTCGTATTTATTAAATAAAAAGTACACGTATTATTTAAAAAAAATGATTAGCTGTGGGTTCCACTCAAAACTTTCTAAACCGAATAAATCAATCGATTTTGGAACCGAAACAACAAGCAATTACGATTGAATGGGCTTAGCCTTCGATACCTAATAAAAGCAAAGCAAAAGGCTCGTGTAATGATTGCACATCATATGTATGGTATGTACGCCGTAAAAGCAAGAAGCTACATATTTGGTTGCGCCACCTGTTATATTACGCCATGGGGAAAATGTAGAAGTTTGTGTGAATGTATGTATGTAATGGTAAAAAAAAGTTGTATCAACACATATTTAAGCGGCATTTTCCTATCGATTTTGGGTAACAACACAGTAAAATGTGTTTGTAATGCTTCAATAGTAATATTGAAGTTGGACCTTATTTTCCCACAAAAACCTGCTGATGCTTCACATAGGCATGCATTGACACAATTCTTTAAGCCAGTTCATCCCCCGAAGGTGGTAAATTCGATCATATTTTTATAACTTTTATAACTTTAACAAGCAGAGACGTGGCAGACCTCACAAGTATGTGCATTCTTGATCAGGATGACAAGACGAGTCGATATACCCATGTCCGTCTGTATGAAATAAAGGATTTTAATTACGAAATCTGGTGTCTAGGTTCCTCTATCCTCTAGGCAGATTAAGTTTGTTTACTTTCTCTGATGCACCCCCGAATTCCCGCTATTAGTGATTTTTCATAACTCCCGTAATATTTAAAATTTTTTAAATTTGGCAAATAGTTCCAATTAGTGATTATATAATAGGTCAATTAAGAAGAACGTTATAACCATAAATGAAATGTCTGCTCGCAGCTGTTGTTGTTGTTACTGCTTTGACTTATTTCTGTACTGCACACAATCATTGATGAATTATTATTAAGGTTCCCCTGCCCAATCCCTCCCTACAAAAAATTTTGCCATATAAAGGGAAGCATTATTTCGCCTTAAAATGGATCTGAGTTGGATTTGTGGAAGTTTTTTCATTGATCATATACATAAGTTATTTTTTAAATGCATCGTGCATTATTTAATAAAAGTGTTAATTTTTTGGCAATTGTATTGTTGAAAGACCCATCTTAGAGCCTTATTTTCCTCTGTATTGAAAAAAATTTTTTTGATCGATTTTACCTCTTTTGGTATTCGAACTCACGTAAAGGGTGTATAATTGCACATTTACATAGCAAGTGCGTGTGAGTGTATGCATGTCTATGTGTGTCTATTATTGTCTGTGTGAACATGTTTACAATCAACCAAAGCACCAGCAACAACAACAGCTGCGGGCAGCGTCGCGGGCAGAGCTGGTGGCAGAGCATGGGCCACGATTTTATTTATGGCTATAATTTTCTTCAGAATTGACCTATCATGATGAAACTTGGCATACGGACTCATAATCACTAACTGAAGGTATTTGGCAAATTTGAGTAGAAAAGTCAAAAAATTACGGAAGTTATGGAAAAAACACGAATTGCGGGGGAGTGGGCGGTGCATCGAAAAAAAACGTAAACTAATTACTTTCTCGGTCTTAGGACAATCTGGATACCAAGTTTGGTTGTTGTAGCTCTTATTCCTTCTGAGATCCTTGCGTTCATACAGACGGACAGACGGACATGGCTATATCGACTCCCCTTGCCATCGTGATCAAGAATATATACACTTTGTGGGGTCTGCCACGCCTCCTTCTGCCTGTTACATACATTTGCACAAAACTAGTATACCCTGGGTACAGGGTATAACAAGTAGATTATTGTATATTTATTACGCGTTCAAAGTTTGGTTTATGTAGCTTTTGAAATGTGGACAGTATTGACGAAATTCTGTAGCGGGGAAAGGGGAGGGAAAATAGACAAGGGGCTAGGAGCGTCTGCATACCAAGTTTGGTTAACGGACGATTAACGACGTCCACATAATGTTTCCTTTCATCGGCAAATGTATTTTTCTAAAAAGGTAAAGATCACGCGGTGCCAAATCAGTCGTCCGATGAACTAAATTTGTGTTAACATATCAGGTATTCGGAACAAAGCAAAAGCCAGGCCCAATTGTTCGCAAAAATAAATAGTTGATTTTGAGATATTTAATTCCATTTAATCTTCACGATATACAATTAATATCACGTGATATGAAATATACATGAAATGTACAAGAGTATATTAGGTTTGCGGGAGCTCAAAAATGTAACAGGCAGAAGGAGGCGTGGCAGACCCCACAAAGTATATATATTCTTGATCAGCATGACGAGACGAGTCGATCTAGTCATGTCTGTCTGTCTGTCCGACTGTCCGTCCGTATGAACACCTGGATCTCAGAGAGTATAAGAGATAGAGACACCAAATTTTGCACAAAGATGCCTTATATGTGTACGCTATATGAGTTTGTTTTATTTTTTTGATTTTCCCCCCTTTGGGGTTTTCCCCGATTTTCCATTCGTATAATCGCCTATATCTCGGAGACTATAAGACCTAGGGACACAAAATTTTAGTCCAAGATGCCTTATGTGAATACCCAGAAAATGTGTATTTTGGAATTTCCCTCCCTCACCCCTCTCTCAAGCAAATTCTGTAATTCTTGTAATTTCGAACTCAAATTTGAGAAATACCCCCAGTTAGTTAGTTATTATGTGTCCGTATGCCAAGTTTCACTACGATAGACCGATTTAATAAGAAGTTATAGCCATAAATATATTTGCTGCTGCAGCGCTGCTCAAGTTGACTGCTAACATATGTATTTACACAGACACGAATAGGCACATACGTGCGCATAGGCATACATACACTCACACAGACGCAATTGCTATGTAAATGTGCAATTATACACCCTTTACGTGAGTTCGAATACCGAGAGAGGTAAAATCGATTAACATTTTTTTTTTTTAATTTTCTTAATTTTTTTATTTTCTATAATTATTGTAAACATATTTACAGAGTATTTCAAAGTCGGGACACCCGACTTTAGCTTTTTTACTTGTTTTGTATAAGTAAAAGTTTCAATAGAAGCATTCCGTAATAGTAATGGTATTTTTTGTGAGATGCCTTTTCGTGAAATAAAAATAGTTAATAAACGGCAGTTATAGTCAACAACCAAAGTAGATTATAATGTTCTTGTTCAGGTGCTTTTTTTCTTCTCAAATACAATACATATGTAATTTACTACTGTAATAGTCTGCAGGTGCTGCCTGAATATGAATCATTTATTATGTTGACACATTCAAAGGGTACTCGTATAAAAATAACAATTTTTTGACAGAATGCGATTCTAAGTTCCTCTGATTCTGACCCATAATAAGAATATACATATGATTGTACATACAAGCACATGAACCAACTGCTGATATATTCCCGTTATGAGGTTCTCATTTATACGATCATGTTTTATTTCTTCTGAATTTCCGGGCATAGTTTAATATCGCACGTGTTGCGTCTAACCAAGAATTGTTTGAGTTTCGACTTCATTGGCAGTTCAACAGATGAATCTGCAGATGATATGAATAATGTTCAGGTAAGTAAATTATAATACATTATTTTACCTTTAACACTTCATATAAATTACTCATTTACAGATACCCACAGCCTGGCGTCCCGCGTTCCTTGACTCAAACACACTTAAACTGTTTTTTGATTTGTACGAAATTTTACCTAACGGCCTAGCTAGTTATTCACTGTCGTGTTTGGTGCAAATAACATCAGTTCGGCGCTCGCTATTTAGCAACTCTGAGCGCACGAAATTCCTCACACACCTTGTAGAAGGTGTTAAGAATATACTCACCAACTTACATGTAAGACCCAGTACCTTCGTATCAAATGTACACATTCGAAAGAATACAATTTACTGCTTTGCGGTGTATGAAGGCGTAAATTGTGTTGTAAGCAATATATATATATTTATATACATAAGTACTATATATACATAAATATATATATATAAATATATATATATTATTATAAGGTGGCCGCCCAAAAAATTACTTCTAAATATTGATAAACGTTCTTTAAAAAAGTGCTTCAAAGCTTAATACTCTCCACTTTTTTTTGATACAAAAATGGTTTTATAGGTATGGGCTATTTACATATACATATGACCTTTTGTGTGTGTACCACCGTGTCTTATCCAATAAGGAACTTATATTTTATTGCGGAGTATAACATTTTTGGTAACTTTTAAGAAATGTCAACATACTGTTAAAATATTTGTATATGCTCTGTACCTAAAAAATCAAGATATATTTGGTTTGTGCAAGCTAATATCCGCCCATCTGTCCTTCCGTCTGGATAAACGCCTGGATTTCTGAAACGACCGACAAAACTTGGTAGCACGGGGTGTTTTTTATTATACCCTATACTATGTACTTTAATGCGAATGTCATGTGTCACACATAGAATATATATAATAGTATTTTTATCGTGTCCCTCTGCCCGACATCTGGTGACTCAAGCACTTACAGATACTGTCCTGAATTGAGACTTGTCGTGCTGATAAAAATATATATACATACATATGTACTTATTTACTTAGCTGAATCTGCTATACGTATCAGCATTTATAATGTTGCAGAAACTGAATGCCTTCTCTTAACCTCCGGGTACAGATTATTGACATATCGTACATACATGTGTATGTATATTTGCTTCACAGCCTTGGTTTAAGGAACTGCTTCAAAACTATGAGAGAAGAAGCAATTTGGACAACAGTTGTTTTTGTGTATGATCCTATAGTTAAGATCAACCGTGTTTCCGTGAACTTTGAACAACTGACATCTACTTACATACGTACACACATATTAATCAAAGCACAAACCGTAATGAGAGTTTCCAAATCGACGGAGAAACGCTACCGAATAAAGCAATGTTACGCTTTCGTTGGTCACATACATTACATACGTATATACTCTATTACTTATCATATCACTCTATTACATGCATATCACAAGCATTGCTTTAGGGCGAGTTTCCAGATCAACGAACCATAATTAATTTCCTTGATAAACTGAGCTGTTTTTCAATTTTATTAAACTATTGAAAAAAAAAGAATGATTTGCTGTTTGGAACAATGAATATTTTTTGTTTAGAAAACTTTACAAAATGCGGTTAAACTAGTAGTTGTACCTTTTAGCGCATTCTTTTACAATTCATCAACCTGATTTACTAAAATACCACTAATAAGTACTTGTAAAGTACATATGTATATTTGTCCGAGAGCACTGTTTTCAACTTAACATAGAAATTCGATACGTCGGCATGTGTGTATTGTATCTTTTTTGTCGATATGGAAATAACATTTCGATACCGAATATCTTGCAGCGTTTCGTATATTTGTGACCGTATTTTATGTTCATACGTAGTATATGGAATATTTCGGTAAATGAGCGTTTCGTCGATCTGGAAACAGTCTAATGCACAAACTCTTTTTTTGTTTTTTGAATAAGATTATGAATACTTGCGAAAAAAAAACAAACACAGTAATTGCTAACATAAAATTGCCGTTGGGATTACAGGGTCTCAGCGATCCGGACAATTATCATGAGTTTTGCCGCTTACTGGCACGGTTAAAGTCAAACTACCAGCTAGGTGAACTTATAGCAGTGCCCTGTTACCCAGAGGCTATCGAATTGATAGCAAAGTTTACGGTGCAATCATTACATGTAAGTGGTTTTAGTTTATTCGACTCAAATTTATTAACATCTTTAAGCTGGTTTGTAGATGTGGCTTTTTGCTCCAAACAGCGTCCACTATCTATTGACACTGTGGCAGCGTATGGTGGCTTCGGTACCGTATGTTAAATCACCGGATCCCCATTTGCTTGGAACGTACACGCCTGAAGTAATCAAAGCATATATCGAATCGCGGCTCGATGCTGTACCCGTAATTGTACGTGACAATTTAGATGATCCTCTTGATGATCTTTGTATGGTGCAGCAACAGTTGGAGCAGTTATCCGTCATCGAACGTTGCGAATACAATAAGACTTGTAATCTGCTTGTACAACACTTCGATCTGAAAGCGCGAGAATATGAAAACCTTGTGCAGACGCCAAATGTAAACGTAATAGACATCACAGTGCATGAGCTTCAATTGACCTGGTTAGTGTATATAATTGGATCGGCTATTGTGGGACGACTTTCCGTGACGACTAGTGATGAGCACGATACGATGGATGCGGAGCTGGTTATACGTGTCTTACAATTAATGAGTTTAACGGACGCACGCTTACCACAGGCTGGTTGCGAGAAGCTCGAGTTAGCTATATTAAGCTTTTTGGATCAAGTGCGGAAAATGCACAGCAGCGAGCAAGCACAAAAGGCGAACGTATACAAGCGGCTGAGTGAAGTTTTCGGCTTGAGTGATGAACAAATGCTGTTAAGTTTTATTAATCGGAAAATGTAAGTATCTAGTCTTTAACAAATATTTCGTTTATCATAAAACATTACTTACTTGCAGCATAACCAATTTAAAGTTTTGGGGACGATCTGAGCAAATCATTACAAAAACTCTTATGTTACTTTCGGATCTTTCGGTGCACTTCAACTCAGTGCGTAAGCTTGCCCGCCTCGAGGAGGTGCAATTTATGCTGACCCATCACACGAGTGAACATTTCCCCTTTCTTGGAACGAACTCTTCGTTAAGTGAAATGCGGTGTCGAACAATGTTCTATACGTCATTGGGGCGGCTGCTTATGTTCGATTTAGGCGAAGATGAGGAGCGTTTTTACAACTTCTTAACACCCCTAACTAGTAAGAACCACGCAGCTACAGCTCTGCGTACTTGTGCAAATATACTTAATATTTTCTCATTCTCTCATTTCTATAGATCAATTCGAGTCGCTCGGAACAGTGCTCATGGACACCAATGGGTATCCTAATGAAGAGGCGAAGAAGGCCGTTATTGGATTGGCACGAGACTTGCGTGGCTTGGCTCTGCCATTAAACGCACGTATTCAATATACTATGTTCTTTGAGTGGCTGTGCGTTCATTTTTTGTACACCGTCCCTTTTATGAATGATTCGATTTGCTTAGCTTGTAAAAATTTATTTGATTACAGATATTATACGGACTATTTGCCGATATTACTACGCGCAGTCGAGTTGTGGGCGCACGATCCGGCCGTCACTACACCTGTTCTTAAACTATTCGCTGAATTAGTTCATTGTCGCACTCAACGTCTAGCCGGAAATGTGTCCAGCCCTATGGGCATATTACTCTTTCGAGAGGCATCGAAATTAATTTGTATCTACGGAAATCGTATTTTGCATCTAGATGTACCTCGTGATCAGCTCTATCCAATGCGACTGAAAGGTATTTCAGTGTGTTTTCTGATCTTGAAAAATGCTCTAGGAGGTAACTATGTTAATTGTGGCGTGTTTAAACTCTATGGCGATGATACATTAGATAACGTCCTTGGCATTATTGCCAAGTTAATACTGTCCATACAACAGAACGACTTATTGGTAAGTCAATTGAAAATCAGAATAATATACTACTATGACACAAATTTGTCATAATTTTTGTCTTTTGTTTTTTAAAGGAATACCCAAAGTTGGCGTCAGCATATTACAACTTGTTAAACTGCCTATCCCAGGACCATATTACTTATTTTGCTGCTTTGGAGCCCCCTGCATTTTTATATATATTGGAAAGTCTGACGAAGGGCCTTGCCGCGTTAGGTAAGTATCAGGCTGTTACACATTTTATAATGATTTCAATCATTTTTATATAATTACAGATTCAACAATTTATATTAGTTGCTGCACCATATTGGACAGCATAGTTTCATACATCTTTAAGCAGCTACAACTAAAAAGTAAGTAACTTTTTTAATATTTTATGACCCTTTTTATCAAATTATTTGTACTCTTTTAGTTTCGACATTTCCCAATAAGAAACTCCGCAGCTTGACCCAGGAGAATGCACAGTTTCTAAAGGTGTAGTTGGATGTTTATCATTCGTGTGTTCCTGCTTATTTAACATACCACGTTCTACACTTTCAGGTAGTAGAAATGAACTCTGAGCTGCTGCAAAATATGATGTCGTCATTGTTGAACAACGTACTTGCAGAAGACTGTCGTAACCAATGGTCTATGTCACGTCCCCTTCTAGTGCTTATACTTCTTTACGAGGACTACTATAGGTAAAAACGCTTCTTTTTTTTCATTTGTTTCCGGCTGACAAGTCTTTTATAGATCACTTAAGGAAAGCATCATTAGAGCCCAGCCTGTGGAAAAACAGCAAACAATGGTACAATGGTTTGACGATCTGATGCTTGGTATTGAGCGCAATGTATCTAGTAAAAACAAGGAGAAGTTAGTATGAACCATTCTTTATGTATTAGGCATATATCGTATGGGTATTCCAGCAATGTCTAAAATTTTTGTAGTTTCCTTTATTTATGTATAAAACTGTAAGGAAAAGGATCAAATCCAAAAAATTTTTTCTAATATATAAATTCATCAACAATGGAAATATTTAAATTGGCTTAACGATTTCATAACAGACGGTTGTGCTTTAGGTGTTCAATAGTTACTTGGTTGAAGGGCAAACTAATATTATTGAATAGCTCTGAAATAAATTTGATAAGAACAGAAAGTTTAATATGAAGATGCTGTATTAGGTCCTTAAAAATTCTAACCTAAATAACATAACCTAGTCAAAGTTATACCGCTTCGACAAACGCTTTAGGCATTGAAGCCAAAACAACTACTAGTTTTCGCGGTCAACCCAGCAAAAGTTTAAAAATATTGTGTTTGCTAATATTGATCAAACTTTGGTCAGTTCGTTTGCTGCACCGCTGCTGTTCTTCCACGATTGGCAATGCCATTCACTACTATCTAATAAAGAAATCCATTCCTATGTGCTCGTCAATTCTTTGTCAGAGAGAGACAAACATGCGATCTTCAAAGTGGGTTTGACTCTGGCCACCTTTGCACTTACCCTACTCCTCCCACCACTGATTGTGTTTCGTGAGAGTAATTGGCCCGTTAGCTTTGATTTGTCTCATCATGTTGATGGTGCATGTTTAGTAGCTACATCGCGTAGTGTTGCATTATTCCTTCTGTTACACACCTACATATATATTTGAACATAACAACTACTTGACGCAGAAGTATGAACGTAAGCGGAACTACGCCACCAACATAAGAAAGTCTCATAATTCGTCATGACTCAGTATACTCGTATAAATACAATTTTAAATGTATATATGTATGTACGTATTACCAATAAGGCGAGGCAAACTGTCAGTATATCTTTTCGGAAATACATAACTGCTTATACTACTATATAGTTTTTCGATTTTTGAAGAATCTTCTAGAAGCTTCACTACACAATCGATAGTAAACCCTTTTAAACCTACTATACCTACATCATGGGTATGAGTATAAAAACATAAGCAGGAAACTATATGTATTTGAAATATAATTTGATCCTGAAGCGTAACAATTGTTTTAGTAGTAGCTTCTTAAATTGAAAAAGTATTTGTTATATACTTTAATATTCATTATTTATAATAGATACCATTTATTCCATTTTATTTATTTATTCTAGATTTACACAAAACTTGTCGACGTTCCGGCGTGATGTGGTAAATTTACCTAAGACGACGACCTATTCAACCGGTTTGTAATAAATTATTATACGACACAGCTCGAATACTGGCACTTAGGTCGTAAAGCTTATTCGTAAATTTTTTATTTATGTAAATAGAAATGGAAAAACCAGCGAACATTCGCATACGCATCTTTAATTGTTATTCGTTTTTACTCAGTATATATTAATCTAGGAGACTGTTCTCCCCGGTTTATATAGTTTTGTGAATACAACTTCCATCTGAACTGAGAAAAGAAAAACATATTTTCATCGCTTTGAAAGCTTCGCCTACCCTTTTGGATATGGTGGAACTAGCCTGATTTTTAAATGTCCGGCACGCGTTTAGTATTCAACCACAGCGAGAGCTGCCTTTTTGCAATTATGTTCATAAATCCCTCTAGGATGGAGGCATTAGCCAGGCATTTCCAGTGTGGCTGCATTTGGGTGTAGAGACTGCTTATTACACAGAAATAATGCGAAATGTGGGAGTTATCGAACCACGTTGTACATAGCGGGCGAATTGGGGCGTATCGGAAAAGGAAACACATTTAGGATAATTTTTTTTTGAATGGCTATATAGTTTCATTATTTTACAGATTTACTTTGCGGGTCTGCTACGCCTGATTATGGAACTTATATATAGGTGCAAAAACTTAATCATGCAATTTATTTGGTGTGTGCGTCCGAATAATAAACCAATGTCTGAGCCGTAGACGTGTTGTGAAATGCTTCTGCCGAAGGTTGCGTGCCTTATATTAAACTGACTGTTAAGAGTGAGGGCATTAAAACAGTCTAGACGAGATACGAGATTAACGCCGATTTAATATACTACTATATACCTCAGGGAAATATTCATATGTACAGTTTATTCCCGACTCTACTCTTATTTTTACGGCGTTTTTATGTTGCTGAGATTTCTTGTGTTATCTTTATTTTGCTACTTGGAATACGTTCCTTGATCTTCATCGTTAGTACTATTATCAAAACTAGTACAAAGGCATAATTCTTGGGAAATATGTATATGTCAAAATGGAGATTAGTGTGTATATTAATTATTAATGTGGGTGGGTACATCAAAGTTAAGGAAACTTGTGATTTTTGTTATATAGAAAAGAGCATGCGAGAGGTAAAAGTAAAGACTCTTTTAAAATAGCAATTACAACTAATTTAAGTTTTTACGTATAAATGTCATGAGAAACGGATATCTCAGCTACTTACAAAATCGGCTTAATAACAGATTAAGAAAAACTGACATCAAAATTGACCATATCGCTTGCATATTTAATCGATGCAGAAACAATATTCCAAACACCTTCAAAAACCCCGAAAGTTAGGGCTTGACAAGATTTCTAATATCAAGAAAATAATATCAAGAGGCTTAGCAAATCGGCAAATAGCAAAATCACATGACGAATCACCGATGATTCGGGTTGCAGTCTCCATTTCGCTGCATACTTGTACTCACACTGATCACCAAAAAAAATGTTGACATGCAAAAATGTTTCCTTTGTTTGATTTAACTTATAATATTTTAAATGTTAAAACCTAAAAAAATTGTAATTAAAGCGTGTTACATGTATAATTTGAAAACATTCTACTTTTCATTTCAAATGTACATTCGTACTTTTTTAAAAAAAAATTTTAATAAGAATAAATGATATTTTGATATGATTTCTCTCAATCTTAAAAAAATATGTGACTTTTCTTCTGGGTTAACGGGTAAAAAACATGACCATATGGACGGTCCTTTCCTCTAAAAGAACGAATGCGCATCAATATACATATGTACTTTAAATATGTATAGGAACAACAGTTCAAAGCATTCGATGTAAAACACTTAAACGCACGTATTCTTTACCGCAAACGGATTTATTTCCTTCGACACAACAAAGATCTCCGTAATTTTGTAGTCTCGTAGTCTTGCTTGCCCTATTTACTTCGTCAGGAGGTTTTCATAAGGACTACTTATACCATCTTGCTTTGCTCGCCAACTAGCTGCTCTCGTTTGCCTTCTCGTCGTCAAGTCAAAGTTATGTTCCGTTAAACATTGTAGCCACTCTCCAGGTAAGACCAGTGGGTCCAATTCTCTGACGTAGTGGCGAACCCCAGGATTTTCCAATTGATACGAGCCACTACAACAAAAAATGGTATGTATACTCTTCTGATTGAGTTCTATCTTATGAGCCGACTCTGAGTTGGTTATCATATCATTACCAGAACACAGCCATGTTCGTTACAGAATATCCTAATGCTATCCAGGGGTACGGGGTATTTAACTGTAACACCCTGTCCTCTTTTGTTTTTACCTTCATTCGTAACATGATATTCAATTACTGCACCATAACCTAAAAAAGTTAAAAAAGACATTAAAAAATCTTAAACATGAACGGAATGCAGACCCAACTCTTATATACCCTGTACCCAATACAACAACAAAATTTTTAAAAATGTATGTAATTTTTAAACCCTGAACCCAAAGGGTAAAAAGCTCTACATACTAGTTTAGTGCGAAACCATGTAACACATATAAGTATATATATTCGTGATTAGCATGACAAGACGAATCGATATTTCCAAAAATCTGCATGCGTTTGTCGATATGTATTTTACTGTTTCATAAAAATATAGTGCCTGGTCTTCATGGCCTATTATGCAAAATTGTTAATCAATTGAAGTCATAATTGCAGAAAATACCTATTTTTAAATTTTATATTTACAAATATTACATATTTATATATATATAGTTTATTATTGTTACTTCTCTCCCAATATTAATAATTCGATCGGTCCGTTAAATCAGATTACTTCCACACAAACCTTCGCTCGATGTTGAAATTGGTGTATCTACTAAACATATGTATGATTCAATTTTTAAAGTTTATCTCGGACCGAAAGAACCCGACCAATGCCCATGTCTAGTTGATATGTGTTTAAAATTTCTGCTATGTTTCAAATCTTACTTTATCGTTTGTTGGTCTTGGAAGAACTGACAAATTTCTACACCAATTGAGCTCAGGATTGATTTAATCTACTATTGTGTCAATCAGAAAACACTTTGTATTCCATATCCAAGTGGTCTCTTGCTATTCTCCCAGGCTCTGCCATGTTCAGGCACTTGCCGAGGAACCAACAGAAAGACGAGCAGCCACTGCTAGGCCCTAACGCTCAATAATGAAATCGAAGGGATGTGCTGCGCCGGCTGAAACAACAAACAAAACTGGAAACTCAAAGGACAAATTGTTCATGCTCATACAAATTTTCTACTCCTGTTCCCATATGGCCAACATCAATTCTTTAAAATCGATGAAAATAACTACGAAGTCAAAGCACGCTGCAAAATCTTCCGCCGTAAAATATCCATGCTACTTGAAGGGAACAATTCGGGCGTTTATCTACGCGGACGAAGAGCACGCTGGAAAAAGGGTCCGGGAGATAAAATGCTTAAACTATAGACGAAGTGGCAATTCTAATATAGTCGTAAATAAATTCCAAAGGTCGCCGAATTTTTAATCACACCTAACTCTGCTTCGAAGAATACTCTTACATGCATCTGCGAGATGCAAACGTCGACAGTCCACGTCGTATGTATGGATGAGTAGGCTCAAGATGTAATTGCATACTTGTATGTCTTGCATCTTGTCTGTCTTGTTTGGGACAAGATATATCAGTTCTAATTTCCTGGTTAATCGACGATTGGTAGGCCCTCACAGCACCTGTTTTTAATTTCATTACGCAAAAGATATTTATAATCGATCGAAAGAGCATTTCCTAACATTCAAATGCATTATATGAATCTCGATTGAAGCAAATGATGCGGATGATTATCCAATAGAATTTTTTAACTTACCTGACCTGCCAGGGATTGCATTACCAAATCTCTGGAACGGCATGCGACTTGCAGTCAAAACAAGAAAATAATGCTAAAGTCGAGCAAGCTCAACTCTTAAATACCCTGTACATCCCACCAAAAAGGAAAAAATGAAAAAAACAATTTTTTTTAATAATTAAAAAAATTATATTAATTAAATTATTTAATTATATTAAATACATGTTCATGTACAGTTTCAACAACATACATTTACATCAGAATCGTGCAGCACAAAGTTAAACCCCAGCAGCAACAACAACAACAGCTGCGAGCAGCGCTGCGGGCACCGCTACAAGCAGAGCATGGGCAGCGATTTTATTTATGGCTATAACTGTCTTCAGAATTGACCTATCATGATGAAACTTGGCAGACAGGCACATAATCACTAACGGGATGTAGTTACCAAATTTTAGTTCGAACTATTGGAGTTATAGAAAAAACACGAATTGCGGGGGAGTTGGGGGCGGGGGGGAGGGGTGTATCAGAATAAAAAAATAAACTTGACCTGCCTAGGGCTTATGGGAATCTGGATACCGAGTTTGGTTATTCTAGCTCTTGTACCTTCTGAGATCCTTGCGCTCATACAGACGGACGGACGGACAGACGGACATGGCTATAACGACTAGTCTTGTCATCCTGATCAAGAATATATATACTTTGTGGGGTCTGCCACGCCTCCTTCTGTGTGTTACATACATTCGCCCAAAACTAGTATACCCTTTCACCCTTTGGGTACAGGCTATAAAAATTATATGCAACGTTTTTGACGGGACCTTTCAAGATGATGATGTTCTCATCTATCGAATGACATTGATCACGACCGATATGCTCTTGCATATGATTGAAACTCCCAATTCGATTGGCTTTGGAATTGTGCGTTTTAGATTTACACACGGATTGTTTCTCACACGGACAACCATGTAGTATGTTGCATGTACGGGTATCTACGCAAACAATGGAGAACAAGTACAGAAGCTAAAGTCGGGTCTCCCGACTTTGAAATGTGTCTGTGTATGGCTTGTGTGCCTGTGCAAAGCAGTAACCACAACAACATCTGCGGGCACTGCTTGATGATATATGTATGTATGTATACATATATGGGTATAACTTCCTGTTAAATCGAGCTATCATTATGAAACTTGGCATACGGACTCATTACTGGAGAGATTTTCCGAATTTCAATTTGAGTGAAAATAAGTGAATTATGAAAAATCAGTGATTGCTGGGGGATGGGGCAGGGAGGGAAATTCAAAATACACATATTTTGCGTATTCACATAAGTCATCTGGGACTAAAATTTGGTGTCCCTAGGTCTTATAGTCTTCGAGATATAGGCGACTATACGAATGGAAAATCGGGTAATCACCCATAGGTGAAACTTGCACAGAGTACACACATAAGGCATCTTTGTGCAAAATTTGGTGTCTCTAGTTCTTTTAGTCTCTGAGATCCAGGTGTTCATACGGACGGACAGACAGGGCAAGATCGACTCGTCTTGTCATGGTGATCACGAATATATATACTTTGTGGGGTCTGCCACGCCTCCTTCTTCCTGTCACATTTTTCAGCTCGCGCAAACCTGATATACTCTTGTACATTTCATATACAGAGTATAATAAGAAATACGATATTGCATAGGTATTTCGGTATTTCATACAACAAGTATGATTTATTTTATTTCTTATCCATACAATAAGAATTAGTCACAGCGAACCGTGGCGTATATATAGTATTGATTTCAGGCATTTAATTTTGGGGTTTACATACTACTTAACTGATTACTTTATTGACAATTTGTACATATGTATATACAGTAGTGTAGATTTTTTTCTGTATTTAAAGATTTTTTTTGAAATATTTTTCATTTGTCCATTAAAGCTTCTGACTACACTTGGCTGTGACTCGGGTCATCGCCGGCCGAATGCCAAATAAAATTCCCCCATGGATTTGATTTTGCCTACATAGTTTTTTATACCCTGTACCCAAAGGGTAAAAGGGTATACTAGTTTTGTGCAAATGTATGTAACACATAGAAGGAGGCGTGGCAGACCCCACAAAGTATATATATTATTGATCAGGATGACAAGACGAGTCGATATAGCCATGTCCGTCTCTCCGTCCGTCTGTATGAACGCAAGGATCTCAGAAAGTATAAGAGCTAGAATAACCAAACATCCAGTTTTAGGATCCAAAAAAGAACACGTTTGTGTTTTTTTAGCCTGTTAGTCCATTTGAGTCCTTATTTCAAGTTTGAACTCAAAAGGAAGTTATTGCCATAAATATATATAGTATGTATATGGATTATCTTTGCCCATGCTCCTCCACCGGCTGTTGTTGCTGCTGCTTTTACTCAACTCTGTACTGCACATACATATAGAAAAACACGCATAGGCATACATGGAAGTAATTCCAATAAAAATGTATGTTATTGATACATTTTTTCTACTTTAATAATTTTACATTTATTTTTATACCCTGTACCCTGTATATTAGTTTTGTGCGAGTCTACATGGTACACACAGAAGGAGGCGTGGCAGACCCCACAAAGTATATATATATTCTTGATCAGCATGATAAGCCGAGTCGATATAGCCATGTCCGTCTGTATAAAAGATGGCGCACCCTGTATGTACAAGTACACCAACACGAATAGAGACGATTCTAATGTAAATGTATG